AGTCCAGAGGTAGCAATTTTACCAAACGCTACGGGAGGAGCACAGAAAAGAAACGTTCTTCTGAAGAGAGGATCCAGTTCAAACAAGGGAGACAACACGTTCATCATAGAGGAAGGGCAACTGAAAGGAAAGAAAGAAAACAGTAACCAAAAGAGCAGTATAAAGGCAAAAAGTTTATAACATTACCTTTGAGTAGTATATTACCACGTTTCCATAGGGGGCAAACCTTATGAATGCTCTTGGCTAGTGAAGAGAAAATTTCTACCCCATGACTGGCTGAGCGAGGAGGGATCTTATTAAGGGATTGTGAACACAATGGACATGTTAAGCAAGGACTGAAACCGAAATCGAGGTTCCATTCACTGCTCTGCTATTGGCCGAGTCGGTTTTTAGATCTGCGCGCGTGGCAGTCACTGTTGTCACGTTGTTTCTGCTAAATCTGCCAAATGACAAAATAGCACAACTCACGAATGCCTTTATAATTAAATACGCTCCTCAATAATATAGAAAAAACATGCAAAGGAGGCGTTTGCTTGGTTACAGAGGAATTTTTTATATATTACAAAACCTGTGAAAGGAGCGCCGTCGTTTGTTGAATTACGATGTCTACATTGAGTAAAGGGTTCAGTCACCAGATTGATTGGCTTGGAAAATTTGCTCTTTCTTCACTTTTGTCGTTCAATGTTGCATTCACAATTAATGAGTGGGTATGGATTACCATGATCGTGTTCAAACCAAAATTAACCTCTCTAATTAAACGGGACAGGTCGCATGGGACGTAAACTTACTGGAAAAAACATTTACTTTAAATACTGCATCATCACTGTGGTGGGTCCAATGTGGTGAGAAAATGGCCGGAAGCATTCTGTCCGAAGTATATAGCCCGAAAGTTACAATGCCAAACATGATTACCATGTTAAGAGTACTACTCAACAAACCTTAATAAAACGGCGGTGGGAAAAAACTAGAAATAACCACTTTATAAAAAACCGCTGTAAATGCCAAGGTAAACCACCTTGTGTAGTTCCAAAAAATATCCATACCTCCCATGGAGGGCACTTTTGCTGTAGCCCCCCCAATTCCAGGGGGTGCTTGTCATACACCCCCCCACTACCACCACCTCCCCCTCGAATTTCCGTAATTTTTCGACTTGGTTGGGAGTTGGTTTGGTACCCTTTGGAAAGCATATTTGTGAGAAAAAAAAATTGCACTATATTTTTATGCAAAAGATATTTTCTCCGATAAAATAAGGAAAAATCTTTTCATTTATGTTAATACGGTGTCTACTGAACTCAAGGACGTTCTTAGCTAATAATTAACCATAGGGGGCGATACCGTACACTGCTGACTACACGAATAATGTCATCTGCAAAAGAACCAGTTACATTCACACTAAACACCACGTGAACTTTCATTACTTCATTGCGGCAAGAACATGTTACAAGAAGGCTTAGAACACGACCAAATTCAATGAATCAAAAGTGTAATACAGCACCAACTAGATAACCGCAAGTTTATCCATGAGCCGATGACAATTGTATTAAAAAAATTATCGCAAAGCCGTGAAAAAAGGCATTTATCCGACCGTAGGTAAAAGATGATCAATGCAAACAACAATAGAAGGTTTTCACAGTGACGTCATCAATTTGTAAAGTCAAAATAGCGAGGTTTTACAAATTCTTACTTACACTAGGCTGAAGATTAAAAAAAAAATCTTTGTGCAAGTTTCCATTCCCGTAGCAGATTTTATTTCGAAAATACAGCAATTTGAACTTGCTGTCTCGTTGAAAAAAGTCTCTCCTCTTGATTTTCAGCAGTATAACCATTTCGAGTATTAAAAGATATGTTTATGCGCACGCATGCGAGTGAAAAGAAACAGCTTTTATAGAAAAAGTGAACTCCAGATGTTTTTGTTGATTTCCGGCAGCCATATTGGTGCACCAAAACTGTACACCAATATGGCGTCTCCATACAAGGCTCTACAAAGGTGCGTGAAAAGTTTCGGCAAATAACCCAGAAACTGTGGGCCACAAAGACCTGAGACTTATACAAATTGTTTATACATTAGTCTTTTATAACATTTCATTTTCTTGGCTTCTTCCTCTGGACGGTTTCCAATTATTTTTTTGTTGCGGGACAGTGAAAACGATCTATACTTATCTTGAAGACCGGTAACACTAAGTAACTGAAAGCTTGCTCAACAGAAGAGCTGTTATTAGTAACTTAACAATCTCACTCAGATCCCCTGAAAAAAACCTCTTTAAGCAGCCCCCCACCCCCTCGGGAACTGCCTCCTTTTGTAATCCCCTCCCCTCTACCGCCCTTCGTGAAAAGGGGGGAGGGGGTATGGATATTTTCTGGAACTACACATTACCCGCAACCTCTGTTCAATCAATCAATCAATCAATCAATCAATCAGTCAATCAATTTATTAACATCAATACCTGGGATGGGGTTGCCCCGATCATCCGAGCCACAGGCTCATGTATAAAACGCATGACAATAAAAATACGTAGTCAATAAAGATACAATGCATTTGAATAAAAATTTACAACTGGCTCTTAAGATTTTAAGATTAAAAGATCTTAAGGTGGCTCCACTGGATTTTTTTGGGGGGATACCTCCCAAGTTTGAGTATTAACTACGTCGCCATGAGTAACGATATGGGAAAAAGATTACCACAACTGTATTATATAAAGATGAAAATTTCTTATGATCTGGGTTTTATTGCAATCGGAGTCACCATGGCAACGTAACAACGCCATTACGTTTTTTATTTATTTTTGTGTTTCTCTGTACCGGGAGTTTTTTTTAAGAAATCGGTTGAGGGAGTTTATACCTGCCATAATTGCCTCAATTATGTCAAAGTTTAAACAAATTCTATGAGAGCGTTTTCGAAATATTTTGAAACGAAGTTTTAAGCATCATAAAAACAATGAAGTAGCATGCTATCCACACAATTAGCTAATTTTTTAAGAAAATGATAAGCTTTGGAAACGCGGCTTCATCTTATAGTCTTTTGATTCCATTGAAAACTGCATACAAGAAAAGAGGGGAATTGCTCTGGGCGATCGCGAGTAAGAATAATTTTATTAACTTGCATTCCGCTTCTTTTGTTGCAGTTTTTGCACGTAATTTGGTCCATGCCTACAATTTTCGCATTTTTCAAAAAACCGCTCGATAAATTTTTTTATAAATTTGACAATCCCGAGATCAATTGCCAATAAATATACCCTGCAAGTTTCAAAAACATTGAAAACAGAGAAGGCTTTTAAATAAGGCCTCAAATATAACCAATTTTTCCCCCAGGTTTTGTGTTTACAAGTGAGCGTCCTCATTATTCACTGGCATTGTTTCCAAGTTTCATATGCACGCGCACGTCGTTGAGTGAGATTGTGATCGCTGTTCCTTAAATTTTAGTGCAATATACGAGGTTGGAATAAATCAGAAATATAGTCAGACCCATTTCCTTTTATGTATTTAAAAAGGAAGACAAGAGATTGATAGTACCGTCTATGTTCCAGTGATTGCATGTTTACAGTAGACAACATGGAATCATAATCTAAGCTGTTTCCGAAATTTAAGAGGGCTTTTAAAGCATAATAGTTTGCAGATTCAAGTTTATTGTTCAAAGTTTTGTTAATCCCTAATAGTAATGGACTACAATATTCAAGGTGTGGAAGTATATAAGTCTTGTACAGCATAAGTGAGATATCAGCAGGCACTAGCTTTCTAAGTCGTCTCAGAGCTCCAACCTTGGCATAGACCTTCCTTAAAACAGTTGATAGGTGGTCTTTAAACGTCAACTTATCATCTATACAAACACCAAGAATATTCAGGAAGCCACTTATATCGATAACCGAGTCGCCAATATGAAGAGCAGGTTCATGAGAGTGCTTACCCAGGATCATAGCTTGGGTTTTCTTGCTGTTGAAGGACAAGTAATTTGAAGCAAACCAGGATGAGAGATTCTCAAGATCTTTGTTAAGAGACAGTTCCAATGCTGAAATGTCTGTATTGGATGCATAGGCGGTAGTGTCATCAGCATAGAGTCTCAGGGAAGAGAGTTGAACAGAAAAGTTCAGATCGTTGATAAATACATTAAACAGGAGTGGCCCCAGGAGGCTGCCTTACAGCGGTAGCCAATCCGAGAAAACTCCGTTGACCTTCGCTCTTTGCTTTCGACCAGACAAGTAGGAATGCAAGAAGTCAATTGCCTTCTCACCAAAGCCATAAGCACGTAGCTTTGCAAGAAGCAAATTATGACATATGGAATCAAAGGCTTTGGATAAGTCGGTTGCAATGGAGCCAGTAACCGTTCTGGAATCTAGAGCCAGACGCCAGTCATCGACCATTTTGACCAGTGTAGTGCAAAACGAATGTCCACGAAGAAATCCAGACATATTAGACGAAAACAAGGGTTGAAATACGTTATAAAACTGGTCAAACATAACTTTTTCTACGATCTTGGGTATGATAGACAGGACACTGATAGGTCTGTAATTTGTTACTGATGTGGTATCATCTTTTTTAAATACGGGTGTCACATGGCTGAGCTTCCACTCCGTAGGCCACGTAGAAGTACTAATGCAGAGATTAAGTAGCTTTGTCAGGTGAACTGCTATAGATGGTGCTGAAAATTTAAGAATCTTGGGCATTATATTATCAGGTCCGCAAGATTTATTGCACTTGATCTCACCCAGAAGAGTTTCAATATATAAGACACGTACTGGTTGGAAGGAAAAGTTCGGCTTAAAGTCACGTGACGTAATGGAGGAGACGCTAGGGTGGGTCAAAAATTCCTCCCGCTTGAGCTTCAGGGCAGACTGATCCAGGATTGGAGTAGAGAAAAAGGAGTTAGATAAATTTGATGGTTCTTAACGACTTTGCCATCATCTATCAGGTAAATGTCCTCCTGGGAGACGTCTCTCCCTGCAGAGGGTAATAGGGGTTTCAGTTTTTTCCAGAAACTGTTGGGTGTGGGTGTATTAGAAGCAGAATCAGCAACGTTTAATTGCGACTCGTTTCAGTTTAGTAACTAAGTTCCTTTGTACCCTATAGTGCTCCCACGTGTCTTCAGTAGGATGGCGACGATATTTTTTGTACAGCTTGTTTCTCAAACGCATAGCTTTCTTTATCTCTACATTGATCCAGGAAGCTGATTAGACCGGACTCTCTTTTTAATAACAGGTGCGTGATTCTCTACTATGACATTAAATAATGTAGACCAGTGGGCCCAGACATCATCAATGTCGTCAAAGATAAAAGCGGTGCTCCAAGGGGTTGTCCCTAAATCAGCCAGGAATGCATCCTGATTAAAGTGTTTCATACTTCTAGACTCGATTACTTTGACTCTGGATTTCGGTAATCTTTGTTTTCTGACAATGTAAATAAGGTCATGATCATTCATGCCAAGTTGTAACGAGCCACTAGCAGCCCGATGATTTATCTTCGACCTTTGCCTCATTTACTGAGCTACCTACAGCCTGGTATAGGGATAAAATTAAGGGTTACTACAAGAACAACTTATCCATCGGCCATCTGAATGTAAACAGTGTGTAAACAATGTCTATGTGTGTGCCTGCTACCGTTCACCGACCCTCTGCAAAGTATCTGACTTTATTTCTGCCTGTTGAACTGCCGCAGATAAAATGCTTAAGTCCAAGAGCGAAATTATATTTCTGGGTGATTTCAACATTGACATGCTTCAAAGTAACTGCAACATTAATTTGGATAGTCACACTAATCCCTTAACAGACTTTTGCGACCAGTTTTGTCTCACCAATACAATAGATGAACCGACAAGAGCGACAAAAACGAGTAAATCACTGATCGATGTTATCCTAGTCAACCGACCGGAGCATTGGGCATTTCCAAGCTCCCCGGCAGTCACGGAAAAAACGTCGACAGGCGAAATATCTGCGAAAAACGAGTCACTAAGCGGTGGTAATGCACAGAAAGTGCAAGTCCGTTCAATATCAGGATGTGCAAGATAGTACTGGAACACAGACTTGGACATACCAAGGCACTTGGTATGAAACCACGAGGTACAAGAACCACACAAGATAGCGTCCTAGTTAGTTATGACACTTTTCTTGCAATCAACACATAGAAATTTTACAACGGGCTTGACCTTAGGAACTGGGTTTTTAGCGATATCACCACAGGTCAACAGGCTTTCAACTTGGAAGGACCTTGTACCTTTCGTCGTGTATAAAATACGGGCAGTTGGGTAGCGATGAGGCCGCGATTTTGTCGCAAGGCCGGACAATTGCGAGTGTAAACGAACCACAAGAGCCATGGAACTTGTGTATAAAGAATCCTCCGCAATAATATTTACCCAGAAACGAGGCACCTAGTAGAAACCCGATATAAAGAAGAATTCGCCTTGGCCCCGAGGAGCCGTTAACAACGTGTGCAGCCGCCATGTTGTAAACTTGTTGAACTTCACCAGACGATAAACACCAAAACAAATGAAAACCAACAATATAATATTTAATGTATAAAGTGCTGCCATATTTCTTAACATGGCAGCACTTTATCGGTATATATGCTTCAGAAACAACCAACCTCGGTTGGACTAAGTCAGTAGGTAGAGCACTTGACGGGCAGATCCAATTTTCGGATCAGACCAATATTGAGGATCCTAAAACAACTCAGGAATGAAGGTACTGCCTTTGCACTGCAAACGGGTGGACCTTCGCGCGGCTTGGATGACCACCTAAACTGGCGGTCCCATAAAAGAGGCCTCAATCACTACTTTTATGCTAAATACAATGACACTCTAAAAAATTTGCGTCTTTCACCTGTCCTTTGTAAAATTTCTTTCTCGCACTGTTTTGGTAGGAAATCCATTTGCACCCCACCAGGTGTCATCTTTAGGTTTAGGTTCCTCCATGAGTAACACATCACTGTTAAATGGTTCTGATACCCCGGTCAGGAAATGAACGAGTGGTACAGCAAACAACCACTCATGAAGGTCGTTGTCATCCTTCACAACTTGCCTGCAAATTTCTTGAATGGATTCTCCAAGGTTCCTTAAAGACAAGTGTAAAGCCTTAAACTATTATACGTATTTAGAATAAGCTCAAAAGAAAATGCTCGACATATTTTCATTTATTTTCTTATTTATTATTGATTAATATTTTTCAAAGATAGATTTAAGACAACTAGACACTAGAATTTTCTAATTCGGGATCAAAAGTTAAAAGGGGTTAAGCAGAATGTGAAAACATTAAAAGCTGCTCCTGGAAGGCAAAAAGGACACAGGTAACGCAGGTTGATTTATGTAGGTACTAAAACACAAGCTTCGTGGTGAAGATAGCATAGGGTTCCGAATGGGGAGACGCTTAATGTTTCAACTCTGGAAAAAAAAGCATGTCTAGCCTTGCAAAGAAAAAAACTTGGGAACGAGTTTAGTTTAACATGACCACCATGTGAAATGGTCTATGGAGTACGGTGTAATTATTTAAGGTAGTTGACTTCAGAACAGAGACAAGAATACTTATATCTTCTGGAATGTTATGAGACACCATTACGGCGACATACAACTTTCAGTCCGTAAAACCTCTTTATTTGTTTTTGTTTGTTTGTTTGTTTAAATCCTAGTTTAGTTCACTGACACAATGAAAGAGATCGGGTTCAATCTGGTGCTTTTATCAACTTTTGTTGATAAAATGTATCCACCACTCAAAGGACTTATGTACGTTTTTGGCAACTGTATTCTACCCTTTGCAGTGATTTTAACCTAAAGCCCCGTTGTCAACATGATTGGTCCATTAAGGGCGAATTTTATTTCGAGTTGAACCCGAAAACAATATAAAAACACGGAGGAACTACCTACCGCCACTGTGTGCTGGGAAAGTGACTCAAAAGACTGGTAAATGAACTACAAGTTTTTTCCTTTGCATCTCGCCAGAGAACTAACGATGACAACAGTTTTGCATATTTATCACGATCCAGGCGCACTTTTTGAGAAACAAGAACATTAACAATCGCTACTGATGATACAAGACGAAGCATCCTTTTGGTATTGTCTGTGCCATTTGATAGGGGCAGAGCATTCTGCTCTATCTTTGGCTGCAACATTTTCTTTAGAAGCTAAAAATGGTAAGATGAAACAACTTGCCGTTAATATAATAACACAGTGATACACGCGGACGAAAATACTAAAGAACAAGCGACAAACGTAAATCAAAATCAATACGTAATTACTTTCTAAACAAACAGCATAGCCAGAAATAGCCGGAAATGTTGTTAATGGCTACTATCAGCATGATCCCCGAAAAGTAGACCCAAAGAACGTCCTCATTGTTGAATTCCCCTCCCACTAATTAATTATACCTGGTAGTGATATCTTTTTGACAGCCTTAAAAGAGTAACTTTTGGGTATGCTCTCTTATTTGGCTAAATTAACGATGCAAAAGATTTGCTACTACACCATTTACTACTTATTTCCAGGCATTATATCTACACCTGTAAACAAAGAGATACGCGCCCAAATATCCAAATAAATAGTTCGACGCACTGTATAAAATAGAAAGTCAAATTGCATAAGACCATAATTCTTTAGATTAAAAAGCTGCCCTCTTTTAACGAATGTACTATTCTGTGGAAGTGAACTGTAGGCGGCTCTCTTTAGAACTGTCCTGTTTAAGTTGTCTGTCTGTTTTTTTGTTTTTTGTTTTTAAAGCCATTGTGGATAGGTGTGCGTATAATATAGTTTTCTTCAGTTACCTTATTATGTTATGTTAAAAAAAAAATAAAAAATATGTAAAAGTTACTGATTTTTTATGTATAAGGGTAAAGGTAATTTAAATTGTAATTTTAAATAACTATTTTGTAAGTTGTAATTTTGCTACTTTTTGTCTAGTTTTCACAATTTTTGTAATTTTTGCTCTGTATGTAAATATGAAATAAAGTGTTGTTAAGAATAAATAAAATAAAATAAAATAAAAACTTTTGAGTATACTATGATTAAGTAATTGTAGGTTAGAAAACTGTAATAGGTTATTGCGCTTCCCTCTTTAAATAAAGTTATTGTATTGTATAGATCCACCATTGTTTAGCGACACCCAGGATAAGTGATTTTATTTGCAACAGCAGTTAAACTTTTAGATGTCCGTTTTGAGGTGTCCGTCAAATACTGTCATATCTATGGTAGCACTAAAAACTTCAAGCTTCGCAATCATGAAAGATAAAATTTAGCATTGCTTTACTTTGCTGAAGTCATACGAAGACGGAACATTCTTGTTGCCCTCCACTTGTGCCTGTGTAATACAGAAAGCTAAATCGTTGACACTCTCTATGGCCTCCCAAGCCGACAAGCTTGTATTGCCACCTGTCATGGTAAATCCTTCCCAGTCGGGAAGCATTGCCCGAGTAGCAATCTTTCTTCCTTTAGCAAGATCCATACTTTTCTTCAGAAATGGCATTTTGTTACGAGCTGACTGTACCCAGCTGGGTGGACTAAAAATTGTGTCATCATATTGGTTCCAGACAGCTAAATAATAAAAAAACAAACAAAATAATAATAATAATAATAATAATAATAATAATAATAATAATAACAGCCATTTTGACCCATTTTAACCTCAGTGTCTACTCTGTGCAATTGCATAAAGAGAAAGTCAAACGCGGAAACAGATCACTGTCTAAATGCTATTGATCCAGTTATGATGCATGAACTTACCTAAAAATGTACGGTACACTTTAAGATGGCTCTCTAGCATTTTGGAAGGTACACCCTTTATCTTAAGAGCGACTTTCTGTAAATACCACGGATAGGTGTGCAAGATGGAAAAATAGAAATCCCCCAAACTTTGTCACAACAAAGCCCTTTGGAAACTATTTTAGAAAATACAAGACTCAGTTCGTTTGACTTAATATTTTCCAAAATAATAATTTTTTTTAATTTTCACCTTCGAGAGGCCTTCAAACCACCGAAAAATGTGCTTGATACCCTCGCTTCGTGAATGGAAACGGAAACTAATACCATAACTTTTCTTTCATTAAACAATTTTATGATCTTCCTTTCTACCTAAATGTTGTTACAATTTCAAAAGATTTCAATCTGATTTTTTAATATTTTTTCAAAATTACCTTCTAAATCAGCATTATCGCAACCATCAATTTTGCCATTTTTCAACGGCGAAAATCCCTCCCTGGTACATGGCTTTCATTACAAAAATGGTATTCCAGAGAAAGAGCAATGTTTCCCCTATCAATCTGTGAAATAAAATTCTGGGGCAATTGAAACTGCGAGTTTTTACAACGGAAAATATTTACGGTACTCGCGTGATTTATGACCTCTGAACTTGCAGTTGTCGTGATGAATAGAAGTGAGAACCTAGACAGCACTTGAAACTCTGACGCAAATTCGCCCCTTTTCCGCCAGTTTAAACACCAAAAACGATTTTTTATTTCACAGAGGTAAATTTTCAAAAGGAAAAGCAATTTTATTGTGCGAAAGTGTGCTATGAACTTCTTGACTACAAACACTTCCCTTACGTGCGTATTTGTTTACTTTTGCCGTACACATATGTACAAAATGGCTAATAGTGTCGGTAGCTATTCTTTCAAATGCTCTCATTTCTCATGAACCAAATAGTTATAGCTATAAAAAAAGGAAAACATTTTGACCTACCTCACATTATTTGACAACAGACCCGAATCCTTTACTGCCTTTAGCGAAACGAGATTGCGTGACAAAGAACTTTGAGACCCAGGTTATACCGCGCAGACAGATACCATTCCGAAAAAGAAACTCACGCGGCACCTTCTGTAGCTATAAAAGCGAAACATGTAAAAAATCAAAATCCTTAGTTTCGCTGACTTATCTGCCAGAGCGACCCTGCAAACGTAACACTAA